ACAGTCAACACTCTTATGAGAAGAGTGAGCCTGTTTGGCTGGTTGGCTGGCTGTTGAGATGGGAGAATTCTCTGCTTGGTAACAGAGCTCTTCCATTTCAACAGATTCTACTACTCTGTCTTAATGAAATTTGAGCAGGAACTCTGTTTTTTTTTTCTCTTTTTATTTTTAATTTTAATTTTAATTTAATTTCCTCTTTCCCTAAGTTCTGTTTTTCTTTCTCTAGCTGTTTCTTTTTCTTCTTTCTTTACAAGAAAGGATTAGTAAAAATGGAATTAATATGCTGGTTGTGTTCCCTAAAAACCTGTTGAGGGGTGCCTGGGTGCCTCAGTGGGTTGAGCCTCTGCCTTCCGCTCAGGTCAGGATCTCAGAGTTCTGGGATCAAGTCCTGCATCAGGTTCCATGCTCAGCAGGGAGCCTGCTTACCGTCCCCACCCCCACCTCTCTGCCTACTTGTGATCTCTCTCTCTCTCTCTGTGTCAAATAAATAAAACAAAAACAAAATCTTAAAAAAAAAATCTATTGAGTGTCTAAAAATTCTAAGTGATCCTCTTGTGATAGTTTTTGGTGTATTGTGAGTTCCATTTTAGCAGCTCTTCTTAATTTACAAACTGAGAAGCTGTGAACTAGGTAATGGCACTGGATCTTTTTTTTTTTTTCTTTTTTTCAGTAAAGTTTCTCACCTGGTATTAAAATACTAAGTGGAAGGTGTTATGAAATTTCCTAGGTGAGTCACTGGATCTCAAGAGTGAATACATTCACTCAGTGCATAAAGCACTAAGGTGAAACCAGAGAGAAACTAAACATTTGTCTTTGAGCTCCTGGAAAAGAGCTCTACTGTCCTTGGCTACTCCTCTGAGTCCTCAGGCCAGGGGTTTTGCCTGCCTTCGGAGAAGGCAGCTCTCTCTGATGCGTAGGACAGCCTGTCGTCAGATTGGAGTGGGAAGAGGAACATAGCAGTTGCTACAGAGTTGAACTCAATGCCGAAACTGCAAATTGCAGGTCACTACAATCTTACAGGGTGCACTAAAATCAACACTAGGCAAACGTGGAGCGTTAAGGATGGGCAATCAAGAATATTGAAAATGCTAATGAGCTTCCTTTTCAAGCAACATTTCAAAGAAGATGGTTCAGTCCATCCAGCCTGTATACAGATTCAAAGGAACGTTTTGGAGGACAGCATGAGTGTCCTCTATTATACTGTGATGTTGAAAGGGAGTGGCCCTAGAGGCACACTTTCTCCAGTTCAAGTTCCGGCTCTGCCTCTCACCAGGCAAGGCACTCAATGTTTTCAAGGCTCAGTTTTCTCTTCTGAGAAACAGGGATAATATGCGTACTTTAGAGAATTAGTAGGAGGCTTAAAAAAGCTACGGTATGTGAAGTTCAGCAGAGGCTTTGCCCATAGTCTCATGCAACAAACATTATCCAAAACCTTTGCAGGATCCCCTTGAAGCAGGAAGCATGTAGAACTGGATGCTTCTGTCTTGTTAGGCTGGGGGAGGTGGTGCATGGTCCTGTTCATCCTCATTCCTCTTGTCTCTAAAATCCATTCCTTTCCCTTTCCCCCTTGATCCTGGTCCTCCTCATTGTAGTCTTCTTACTTGCTCTTATCTGGGGGTTCAGGGAGTTTCAGAGGAAAGTGCACTGTGTGCAGCTATCAGTATGGTGTGTCCATGGGAGGAAGGGAATTCAGGAGCCTCCCCAGTTGCAATCTTGGCCCAGAATGCTCAGGGCTTTGGCTTGAGCTTGAGGAAAGGCAGTGCCTAGGAGAAGAACTAACACTCTCTCTTTCTAAATTCTCCTGAACAAATCTTTAGAAGAGTAGAGGATTTTTCTTCATTGTAATTTTAACTCATTATGGAGAATTGGAGTAGGATCCTACAAGGGTGTGTTTGGAGTGTGAGTGTGCAATGGACAGGTGGTGTGGGTATTGGTTTGGGGGATGGAGAATAAAACCAGCACCTTGACTGTCATTCCACCTTGACTTTGGGAGGAGACCCAGAATCTTTTGGGTTCCTAGAGGTAAAATTCATTATACATTTTCATCATTATCATGGCTCTTTTGTAGTCCCTGAACAATTAATGCATGAAGAGATTTTAGTGCAATTTCTAACTGAAGTGGCTTTTGAGTAGGGGCTTTTCTGTTTGCTTCTTGCTTTCTCCAGGTTGCTAGCCTCTATTTATTTATCAGTTTTTATCTTGCTTTTGAAAGAACGATCTTTCATGAGGGCTGAGGCTGTCCAGTTGTGTGGGATGTCTGATGTTTGCTCTGCCGGCTGAAATCCAACCTGAAGTCAGTCCATTAGTGAAGTCAAGTGAAGTCATTAGCTCCATCCTGGCAGCATCTACGTGGAGGAAGGAAAGTTTTTTTTGTTTTGTTTTGTTTTTGTTTTGTTTTTGTTTTTGTTTTGTCTACTTCTTAACCAAAGTCCAGTGTGGGATAATATACCCCTCCCCCTGCTTGGCCATATTTTTAAAATAATATTTAATGAGTACAAATTGACAAAAGCAGTCATCATTTACCATGGGGAGAACATACAAAAATAAAAGATATGTGAGCTTAAAAATTTTCCTAGAATACAGTGCAGTTTAGTCCAAGTTTTTTTTTTTTTTAATAGAGAACAGATTGGACCTGTTAAAAGGAAGTTCACTACCCCAATCTGTTCCAAAATCATCCTTTCCAACCCTAGGTAAACGGGAGGAGTCTGCTGTGTTAGGAGGATCAAGTTGGTTTGAGGAAGGAGCTTGAGAGGGACAAGGAGAGGAAATTGGCTTCTCTGGTCTGCTGGTGGGGCTTGGAGCCCTTGTGGTTGAGGCTGAGGTCAGGGTTGCCAAGGTCTTGTTACACTAAAACCACTGGAGGCGTTCTTCAACTTCCATTGAAGAATGTTTGACGGCTTTTATAAACTACCCAGGCAGAACATTTTTACTAGGGTTATAAAAGTAGAGTTTTACTCTAGGTAGGATTTTTTTGTTTTTAACCTAAGTGTAGCATTTTCTATTTTAATGATGAACTATGGCCCAGTAAAAACTCATCACCAAAGATCATGGTTAACCCCAGAGGCTTTCTTTACTCCAACCTGGGTAGTATTTAATTTTGAAGCAATCATTCTCTAGACAACAAGCAGGCTCCAACCCTGGAAGACCTGGCTATTTTGCACAAAATGGAATGGATGAGTAGTAACGTTTTCCCTGTCTTTCCCACTCACGCTCTAGGGTCAGCACCATACAACCCAGCTCTGCTCACGGTTTTCCAGGTTTTTTGTAAGCTTGCGTAGGTGGATCAAGGATAAATTAGTGGAGGATGTATTCTGTATTCCTTCTCAGTGAACACAAACTGATATAAAAACCAAAATCTGTAAAAGGTATGATGAAACCAACACCCTCATCCAATGGCAATGAAATCGACGAGGTCAATTTAGGAATAATTTGGCAATATATATCAAGTGTGATTAAGAGTTTCTTAATTTTGTAATCCCAATTCTTGGCAAGTATTCTAAGGAAATAATTTAAAATATGGAAAATTAATAAGTGCTAAGATATTCTCTGAAATGTTACCTGTTTAGTAAAAAAAGATATAACCTACATGTTTAATTAGTGCAGTGGTTAAATAAATGCCCATTTGATGTAATATATTGCAGCCACTAATAATACATGCATACTGTGTAAGAGAACAAAACCACTGATATATTAAGTGAAAAAGGAAGGATGTAAAATTGAATACATAGTGTTGATGAAACTATTATCAAAAAGTTTTGTAGAGAAATAGTCTGGGTGGTGGGTGATGTTTTCATATATTTTAATCATTTTGCATCATGTAGCATATATGATAATAAAAATTGAAAAAAAAAAGAAAAATAGATGGCCTTCATAGAGCAGGCAGAAAAATGTCAATCCCAAAGGCTTTTGGTTATTTCGGCTTGTGGGAAGAGGGTACTTGAGGTTCTTCCAGCTCCATGCATGAGCCAGGAAGACTAATCCTGCTGAAGGTCATCTTGGAAATGGCACAGTCAGTACAGGAAAAACAGAGAAAACCACCCTGCATTCCAGCAAAGATTGGAGAAAGAACCAAGTCTCATATTTCAGCTACTGTTCACACCTTTCTACTCTAAGACTTTACATAATTCTCTCATCTATGCCTGGGTCAAACTTACTTTTTCATTATTCACTTAGTTTCACTGCTTAAAATTATAATAAGCCCTGAAAAATTACAGCAGCTACTTTTTTAATGCTAGAAATCCATTTCATTGATGATTAGTACTGAACAATATATTTGGAATATGCTATTCAAAAAGCATACCACAATACTGAAATCATACAAAACCTAGTAGAGTGCAACTTTATAAAGTTTATTTAGCTTGCTGTCTAAAATTCTGGCTTATTTCAACTTTCTGTGCAAGGGCTTTTATCAACCCTTCCTTGCTTATTGTACATTGAAAAACAACAAGTGGATATCTCTCCATTTGAACTCAATCTTCCCTATACCTATTCCTTGTAGAGGAAGAATCTTATAACAACGGTAATAGATTTGCATGTATTCAGCCCATGGTTACTTTCCATCAATGGTGATATTTTTGTTGTTTTATGAAATAGTTCTCCACAGCACCCATCCGGGTTGGCAAAAGCAAAATCGAAGAGCACTTTTCACTCTAGAATTCACTATGGCAATACTTAGGATCACCTTCACTTAGAAAGAACAGTAAGAAAAATTCTCATTCCTTTTACTTCATTTGATCTTTTTTTTTTTTTTTTCAGACATACCTCAGAAAGCCTTTATCAGTGGCCACCATCTTACTGTTTTCCATTTCATTGCACTCAGCCCTTGAACCAGAGAAGGAAGTTGCATATATTTCTCCTGGATTTTGCAAGACATTAGGTCATGCATGTTAAAAAAAAAAACGCTTTAGTGTGAAACCACAAAGCTCACTGTGACCTCAGCCCACTGCCTCTGGGAAGAAGAGAGGCAGGGACCTACATAGATTCATCACTAACCTTGAGTTCTAGCCCTGTCTGTCAATTTCTCAAAGTCAGGCAACAGTTCCTTCTCTGTTAACAAACTTCAAACCATGGTGGGAGAAAAATGCTTTCTTAACTGTGCGCATTACATAGTCTTCTCTAAATATACAATACTAGAGTTGGGAGTCCAGGCAAATTGAACTTTGCTTTAAATATTGTCCATTTGATGTTGGTTTTGAGGTCCTCTCCCAGCCCTGGCGGATTCGTGTGAGGGTCTTGTCTATACACGGCAGGATGAGGATGAACTTGATCACCAGCACGGTGCAGGGAATGATGAGTGCTATCACGTAGGCTGAAGGAAGATACCATCTAAGACTCGAAGGACTGAGGAACTTCTTCCCGCCGTACACCATGGTGTGGGCTGTGCACAAGATCAGGGTCAGATAACCCAGTTTGGACTATATAAGCAAGAAAAAGATATACATACATCAACACTGTACTTATATTTTAAAGTGAAACACTCTAAGCCAATGAAGGATATTCATTACCAACCACAAATGTTTGACATCTGAAATATTTAGAACACTCTGCTAAGTATTGGAGAAAGCATTAACCCTCCTTTGGGATGATAAATATTGCATTAAAAAAAAAGAAGATTGTGCTTACTAATGATATGGTGGTTTCATCCTTCAAAAAGTTTTTAGAAGGATGTATAGTTGTCATACAATATCGTCTTAGTTTCAGGTATACAACATCTTGATTTGGCAGTTCTATACATTTTGTACTGCTCACCACGATAAGTGTAGGCACAAGCTGTCACCATACAATGTTATTACAATACTATTGACTATATTTCCTATGCTGTACTTTAATTCCCAGGATGGGCAATATAGGTGAAGGGGATTAAGTTGGTTTCATCTTAACCTGGCTGGGGATGGGAAAGTTTGCTAAGTGTAAACTCTTCTCAGTTAGAATAAATAATATACCTTGATTTCTTCCCCAATGGTAAAACTCTTTCCTTGATCAACTTTTCTGGAGGCCAGAGATGAATAAGTTACAGTATGTCCTCAAGAAGTACCACATTAGTTTATGTTACTGACTAAAAGCAGATGCTAGCTAATTTCTATTGCAATAAAGAACAATTAGCAAATTTACTTTTATTTGCTTGTTTTGGCCTAAATTCTAAAGCTCAATGTTTATTCCTGTCTTAATGCCTTGACTAAAGGTGTTAACATGAGAAAATGTTGACTGCATTTGTTCTCTGGGAGAAACTGCAAGACTTTTGAAATTCAAATAGTTTTATAAAATTCAAATCTAATTTCAGTTACTAATGGTCTTTTCTATTATTATCCTGGTTCACAACAAGCATGCATCAGAATAATCTGGAAGGCTTGTTAAAACACAGTGTTGGGCCACACCTGCAGTGTTTCTGATTCATTTGGTCTGGGTGGAGCCTGGGGACTTGTGTCTCTAATAAGATCCCAGCTGATGGTGAGGTTCTAGGCACCACACTTGGAGTATTACTGGTCTATGAGAATGATAACTAAGTGCCTTTAGTGAGGTATCTGGTGCTTGATACGTGGGAAACAACAATTTTCCCCCTTACAGACCAACACTGGGTCTGGTATGATTACAGTCTAACGTAGCTTGCTTTGATGGTTTTAAACTTGAGTTTAATATATGCCCTTTTGTATCAATATGTATCAGTACAGATGTTAAGGTTGATTTTCAGAAGTAGAAATTTTGTCTTTGGGTTTCTCTTCACATTGCATCTAGCACATTCCTACATACAAAGTTTAATAGTGTTGGTATTTTTCACTCTCTCCTCTGACCTGTGGCTCTGGGAGTAGGCAGTGATCTTGGCATGTGATGCCCAGCTAGGAAACAAAACTATTATGGTATGTCTTTTGGTACCAGAGTTTAGCATTTTCTCACTTGAATTTGGTTCAATTGCTATTTTTGTGACATTGCTAGGGAAGTGAAGTAGCAAAATGAATATTTATGCATAGTAAGAGAGAAAAATGAAAATATTTGTAAAGTCAGAATTATTTTGCAATATAAAGGAGATTCAATATTAGAAATCCTTACCTGGACAAATCGGAATTCTCTCCAGTTGACCATGTTGCTAACTGATGGCAAGGAAGTGATTCCCAAGAGTACGAACAGGAAAAATCCAAGGATTCCCAAAGCTATGTACGAATCATTAAGCCAGGCAGTAGTGGTGCTAAATGGATCGTCTGTCTTGGCTAGTGCCTAAGAAAAATTAAAAGCAATTTTTAAAAATTAAATTTTTTTACAAAATGCCCAAACTTTTAAGGGGACTGAAAAATACTTCTACATGGTGTATTGGCTCCCGATGAATTGTATGTATTTCTTAATAATCACTTAAAAATAGCTGTAGAGAAAAATACACTTGGAAATGATATTTCTTGGTAGAAATAGTAATTGGTTCTGCTGGGACTTTATTATAATAGTTGACTCTAGGAGTTGTGTAGAAAGTTTTAATTGACCCTATAAATTCTAAAACAAAGTAAACATTTACTTAAACCTTCTTTAGCATATGGTTTCTCGTTCCCCAAGCAAAACTCGTTGTTCTCAAATGATTGTATCAGGACTCTGTTTTTCTGCTTTATATGCTGATTATTCACACATGCAAAGTTTGGGTTCTTTCATGTTTATTTTTGTCATAATACAGCATCAAGTCTGACACCACAGACTGAGAAAAATCAGGCCCTTAAAATGGGACTCCTACCCAAGAACTTCCCATGTATTTGTGAGGGAAATAATGTAGAGAATTCCACAGAAGTACCATCAATGAGTTATCGACTCATAAACTTTGAAAATGCAGTAAGATTGATCAAAACCAATTATTTCCAAACTAGAATGGATGGGTAGCACTTCCTCTGGGACTGCTTTAAAACTCTCTGAGCTGATTCTCTCTCTGCATTTTTGACTATGCAGAAAATAGTATTTGACATTTGCTCAGAATTGTTTAGTTTTCTAGTTATTGAGGATGGCTCTCTGCAAGTCAAATATTAATGAAGTTATAAGTACCCTTTTGTGAATTTGTTTACCTTCCTGTGACACAGGTTTGAACAGCCCCCTTACTTAGAAGGTGGTTGGTGTTGACTTCCAAAAGCAAGCAGCATGCATAAAAATAGAAGCTTGAAAACACATTGGTTTACGTTTATTGACTGCATCCCCTCCCCAAGGAATTCAAGTAGGTGTTATTAGGTTTCCTGAGCCCCCAAATCTGTCAGTTTGCCCATAGCCCTATGAGTCCTGGGAATACACATCTGGATCCAAGTGAACCTGGGATCTAACTTTCATTCTCAATAGTTGTATAATGTCTCAACTGCATTCATTAAAAAAAAAAAAAAAAAAATCAAAAACCAAAAACCAAACCAAACCAACAACAACAACAAAAGAGAAGATAACCAAAACCTGACAGGAGCTCTAGTACTTTAAAAAATAAAGATGCTTAGGAGAGCAATTTTCTATAATTGTGAAATGGAATATGATGTAGCAAGACTTCTCTTTGATTTAAGGAACTGGAGAATACAAATGAGTAAAGATTTACCTGGGTAATAGTTCTGTTTTTCAGTGTCCATCGTACATAATAACGAATAGGAATCACAAGTGTGTAGAGGACATGAAGGAAGGCAAATCCCAGTGCCACCAAGCCAAGCTGCTTTCTGCAAAGCATCCAGTGGTCAAGCCAGTCTGGGAATCGGCGGTATTTTGTCCCTCGGTACAGTTGCAGAATGGCAGCAATAACACCAGGGAGGTAAACCAAGGCAAGCAATGTAAGCGCTGCTATCGGAAAGATACGATTTGGAATGGAAATAGCCAAGCGAAATGTGCTGTCTTTCTTGCCATTAGCATAAGGGTAGAGTATGTCTCTTACAACGCAGTAGAAAAAGAAGAAGACACACAGAATAGCAGACAAATAGAAGGGGAGCTTCCACATTGGAAATAGTTGCAGGGGGTAGTTTTCAATTTCTTTGGCTGCCATGAGAGATCCTTGATCCAGTGGAGTAAGTCCAAGAGTACGAGCAACATCCATCACTCTTTGCTTGGCTTTGCTGTCATTTCCACAGACAAACACCTGGGTTAAGAATAATCAATTAATAAATAATTAAATAATACTTACTCTTTACTTTGCGCATTACATTGAAAATCTATGTAAGCACCATGCAGAACAAGAAAACAAGAACATGCTTTTCAGGCAAGGGCGTGGAAGCAGTATGTTTTAAACTTGCACAAATGTGCTGGATGGTTAAGTACCAGGGTTCAAGTTGAGAGTGGTTCTAAGCATATCACACTGATACCATAGGACTTGGTTCTCCACAGGGTGAATGGTTTTTCTTCTGTATTCGTGGGTGCTACAACACTTACGGATTATGTTTAATCTCAGTGAATAAATGGAACCAGTTTCATACAGTATAATAGGAATGAAAAGGTTATCCATCAACAGACTGTTATTTTTTAGTACGTACATGGAACCTGACACCATTGGGTTCCATCAAACTAAAAACTGAGAGTGCTGACAATGAGAAATAAATCACAGCATCGACTACTTTACTTGGTTAAACCCAAGAAAATTATCTGTAGCACATATTAGCAAATGGAAATGTTTAGTTGGTGTTTTATTTTGGAATTCTGTTTTGGCATCTTTGAGGTAAGTGCGCATTAAAACATTTGCTTTTTTTGTTTTTTTAAGATTTTATACGTTTATCTGAGAGAGAGACAGAAAGAGTGAGAGAGAGCATAAGTGGTGGGGAGAGGGAGAAGCAGGCTCTCCGCTAAGCAGGGAGCCCAATGGTGGGCTCAGTTCCAGGATCCTGAGATCATGACCTGAGCCAAAGGCAGAGGCTTAACTGACTGAGCCACCCAGGCGTCCCAAAACCTTCACCTTTTAAAGATTGAGTGTAAATTAATAATTTAATCTTACCTGCCGATTTGCATCCAGTGCTCCAGACTGGAGAGCCCAGGCTGAGATGGTATTAAATGCTTTTACTACGTGGGCTCCGGGCAGCAACTGAGCGACATACTCTGCATTGGATTCTGGGTACTGATCAATTTTGAGGTTGTTGCTGATGTCAACCAATATTTTTCCTTTGAGCACCTCAGTTAGTTCCTTGAGAAAATCGTAATGCTCTCTGTGGACTGCTAAGATTATGATGTCTGATTTCTGGGCTGCTTCTAAGTAGCTCAGGACCTCTGCACCATTGGGCAGCAAACTGGACTTCTGTGGGTTTCTACTTCCAAAAACAATAGAATAATCACACTGGAGCATTCTGAGTGCCAGTGATCTTCCAAAATCTCCAGTTCCAAAAATACATACAGTCTCTTGCTTTTCTGAAGAATTCATAGTAGAAGGAAATGCACCTGTAGAAGTCTTTTCCATAACTGAAAGATAATAACAGAAATAGCCAACAATATAGGAATGCTCAACATGGAAAAATTATTGTCATATAATATTCTCATATGTGTCTGATTGAAAAAAATCACTAGTCAAAAACTTCTTCTGTTGGATAAAGAAATGCAGTGAAAAATCAGGACACTTGTTGGTGGATGCTTTAAACTACAGATATGTGTTGCAATGATACCAACTTTGCCCAACACCTAACAGTTCCAAGTGTTCTCAGAGCAAACTCTAGCAAAGAATGCACTAGTAAGGAAACTGTAGAGCAATTTCTTTATGTTTCATGATACAAAAAATCCTAAATAAAACATCAGCAAACAGAATCCAGCAGCTTGTTAAAAGAAAATGGACGTTGATCAAATGGGGATTATTCTAGGAATGTAAAGATGAGTTCTGTAAACTGAGTATTAGAAAATCTATTAATATAACTTACCATATTAGAAGATTTAAGGAGAAAAATACAGTCATATTTGTGGATGCTAGATGGGCAGATTTTAAAATTTGACATTTATTTTTGACTCAAAAAAAAAAAGAGCAGACAGGTATTTCCTTATCATACAAAGTATCTCTCTCAACCTAAAATCTAGAATCTAACTTAAGAGAATTACCAAAAAAAAAAAAAAAAAAAGAATTCTAGAAACCTCCCAATAAAGCCATAAACCAGATGGGCCATAAGCCAGACAAATGTATCTGCTTTGACCACTTTAGTTTATTGTTTGGAAATTCTAGCTAACACAACTAGACCACAGAAAAAAATATGAGGTATAGAAATTCAAAAGGGGTTGTGGATGGTGAAACTGTAGTCTCAGAGAACTTGCGAAAGTCAACTGAAGAAGTACCATACATATAAAATCAATCCAGGATCTTGTTTAGGAACCCAATTAATATCAATATTCTTCACATACTAAAAAAATTAGTTTGCAAATGGACCCTACTTAAAGCTGTAGCAGAATAGGGAAAATATTTAGGAATAAACGTAGCAAGATAACAAGACAGGTACAAGATCTATATGAAGAAAAATATAAAATTCCCTTAAGACCCAGAGAAGCTTTATGTAAATCTAAAGGTACAGCATGTTCTTGGATGGGCTGGTCAACTTTATGCTGCTCTCAGTTTTCCCTAATTTAATTTCTAAATTCTGAAAAACAAAGTAATGAATAGAGGGCTAGTTCTATTGAATATTTAAATACTATAAAGCTAAGGGGCACCTGGGTGACTCAGTGGGTTAAGCCTCTGCCTTCGGCTCAGGTCATGATCTCAGGGTCCTGGGATCGAGCACCACATCAGGCTCTCTGCTTGGCGGGGAGCCTGCTTCCCACTCTCCCTCTGCCTGCCTCTCTGCCTTCTTGTGATCTCTTTGTCAAATAAATAAATAAACTCTTTAAAAAATAAATAATATAAAGCTAAAATCATGAAGTAATATGGCAGTGTCACAGGAATAGAAAATGTTCAGTGAAATAGTAAAAAAGTAAATTCAAAGTAAATTGAAAATATATTAAAGATTTAAATTATGTGTGTGTGTATGTATGTATGTATCTACTTATGTATCTTTTTTTTAAAGATTTTATTTATTTATTTGATAAAGACACAGTGAGAAAGGGAATACAAGCAGAGGGAGTGGGAGAGGGAGAAGCAGGCTCCCCAGCAAGCAGGGAGCCCGATGTGGGACTCGATCCCAGGACCCTGGGATCATGACCTGAGCTGAAGGCAGATGCTTAATGACTGAGCCACCCAGGTGCCCCTGTATCTATCCGTCTTAAGTAGAACTATAATAAAACTAGAAGGAACTATGGAGAATTCTTTTGTAACTTTAGAGGGAAAAGGCCCTTTTCTATACCACAAATCCCTGAAATCGGTAAAGAATAAAGGGATAAACAAAAACACAAAATATCTCCCTCAACCTGAATTCTAGTATCTAAATTAAAAGTAAAAATTGTTATATATATTACATAAAACTGTGATTTCATAAAAATGAATAATACCTACAAAGCAGAAACCACTGTAAGCAAAGTCAGAAGATCATCAACAAAGAACAAAAAATATTTTTAACTCCTACAAATTAAAAAAAAAATCAACCAATAGAAAATTGGGAAAAGGATATAAATTGATTTTCATCCTAAGGTGATATAATATAGTAAAAAAAATCTTAATCTTACCCAAAATAAAAGAAATGCAAATTAAAACTAAACTGAAATATTGTTATAAAGCATGTGAGTTACCTTTTAAAAGCTTTTGAAATTTAAAGACAAACGAAATAAAAATTCTCAAATTCCTATGGTCCAAAAATATAGTTTAGGTTATTCTGAAAAACATTATTTTTTTCTTTCAGTAATGAATTTTTCTCAAAAAATTATTTATTTTAAATAACATTTATCTTTTAGAGTAAATTTTCAGTTAACCTTTTCCTTTCTTTCTTTCTTTTCTTTTTTTGGTCTCTTTTGTTCAGTAATTTATCCCCAGTGCTAACAAGAGCACTGACTATGATGTCAAGGGCACTCCTTGACAAAATTTGTTGAGTGATATTAGAAAGGTAGAATGGAGGTGTTGGAAGGAGCTCTTTGCTCTGTGTGCCAGGCACAGTGAAGGACACATAATGAAGAGAAGGGTGAGTGATTAAAGTGTAACCACTGGGAAGAATAAGGGAGAAGGAAAGAAGTTGGGAGGATGTTGTAAAGACATTGTTTCTATCACCCAAATGGCTTGAAAGAAACCGTCAGTGAATTTGCTGTGAAATTTAAACCAGATGTAGTCACTATTCAGTTCTTACATGGTGGATTTCATGCCAATTGTAGAGCACAGGAAGCTCACACCTTTTTAATGGGATTTCAGAAATTTGCCCTTTCCATTGTAGCCTTTGGAAAATACCTATATTCTTACCTGAGCTTATCGAAAGGTGTACCTGTATCATAAGCAGACCATTTAGAGCTTTGTAGGTAGTGAGAAGTCATGGAAGAAATGGACAGGAAATATAAGACTACCCTGTACTTCCACTGAAACTCTTCAAATAATTGATTGAATCACCACAGCTGAGTCATTTGTAGAACTAGCTGGTGACTGACAGCCTGCACTGAGTCAGAGAAGGGCATGAGCAAGGTGGAGGAATGCCTAAAGAGAACACCGGGCCTCTCCTATGGAAACATAGCTGGGTCTTTCCGAAATTCTCTGTAGCAGCTGCCAATGCAAACTACTTTAACAATTTATAATATAAGTCACTACTTTTGTAATATAAGCTGCTAATCAGTTCATACATACTTGTTAAAACTCAAATACTCAAACTGGTGAATGATGGCTTCATTATTATGAATGTGTTCAAAGAATGTCGGTTGGCTGGCTATCCCCCTCACTTTTTATCCAGCGTTTTCCCCTCATATATTATTTTTCTCTCTCTTATATTCAGACGGACATTTGCAAGTAAAATACAGATTTGATAAAGTTACCAGTGTCCTTTAATGGGATGGATGCTATCTTTATTGACATATTCTCACTTGGATCACCTTAATCATTGCAAACAGAGAGTTAGTCTAGACTCTACTTTGACAATTTGGCCACTACCTTAATTTATTCTGACCTGTCATAAACTTTTTTTTTTTAATGGAGATGTTAACTAAACAGCACTGGTTTTTTTTGTTGTTGTTGTTCCAACTCCTGCTGGCACTATCAGTGTGGATAAGTTGCTCAAACTCTTGATGTCTCAGTTTCATCATCTTTCAGATGAGAGATTAATAGCACCTACTTTGAAGACATTGTGAGGATTAAATGAATTAATGTATCTTTTTTTTCTTTTGGCGGGGAGTGGGGAGAGAGATCATGGGGTGGGAGGGCGAGGAGAGAATCCCAAGCAGGCACCCCTTCCAGCATGAAGCCCTATGAGGGGCTTGATCTCACAACCCTGAGATTATGACCTGAGCCAAAATCAGAGAGTCAGATGCTTAACCAACTGAGCCACCCAGGTGCCCCATGAATTAATGTATCTTAAAACATTTCTTGAGACATAGTAAGTACTTAGTAAATGGTCTGTCATTAATAGATTATTCAAATAATCTAGTGATTTTCTAATTTTTCAATCTATTGATTACCTGATTAATATAACCTTTATATAAATTTTATAAATTAAGGGTAAATTATGTTTCTATAACTGAATATTAGAAATAGATAAAATTTATCTGAAATAGCATTCAATAATTCTTAAGAAGTTTCTGCTTTCCCCACTTATTTCTTAAAAATGAAACCCTATAAGAAAAGACTTTAGAACATATGAGTTTATCAAAACACAGATGTATAAACAGCTCAAGTGTGAATTTCTATCATTTGTAATTCTTACTCATTTTAATTTTTCCCTCTTAAAATGCAGCTTGGCAATCCAGTGTAACACACTTGGGCTGTTATACCAACCACTGAAATTATTTTCAATTTCTTAAACTTTCACAGACTTCACTGGGCAAATTGTAGGTACAAAGACAGTAAGGAAATATTAAAATATCACTGATTGACTTAGAAAGAAATAGTCATTCCATTGGGCAATTAGTCCTTATCAAGTTGTCGAAGTTCTAAGGTTTATAATTGTGTTGGCGACATCTTGAGGAGTTCTTCAAATCCTCCGCGTTCTATTTCCGGTCATTGGGCAGTAATGGAGATCTGCTGAACTTCCATTGCCTAACAGAGATCCACTTTGGGGACCCACATCTTGTATTTCTGGATTCTTGTCCTGAGGCTTCTCTGATACCCGTACCTGCTTAGCATTCAGACATGTATGACCCGTGGGGCCACCACAGACCAGTGGAGAATGGGACTCCATGAAAAAACAGGTGCTTACACTTTCATCATCTGGCACTCAGTTCTGACACATTTTATAAAGCTCCTCAGAAAGCCCCAGTGGAATAGAGCACCACTCCTCTATAGGGGTGGCCGACTTAATATTCTCTCCTGTGACCTTTCTTATGATCCTAGTTTATGCCTCTTGCCTTTCACTCCTGCTCCTTGGAAT